GTAGAGAGCATTTTTTTTTTTTTTTTTTTTTTTTGGGGGGGGTTCCTGGAGGGAGACGAGAAAATTTGGCGTTGTCGTCCATTACACGGTCTTGTCTTGCAAATTCCCTCCTCTCTCTCTCTCTCTCTCTCTCTCTCTCTCTCTCTTCTCTCTCTCTCTCTCTCTCTCTCTCTCTCTCTCTCTCTCTCTCTCTCTCTCTCTCTCTTCTCTCTCTATCTCTCTATCTATCTCTCCCTCTCTCTTCTTCTCTTCGGCCTCCCTCACTTCGCCGAAGCCCGAGGCACAAACACTTTATCCAACAAAGGATTAGGATGCCTGGATAAGCCATCTTGTCACATAACACTCTATAACATTTTTTATTTATTGCATGAATATATGTATTTATGTATTGCATATGTTTTGTATTTAATTGTTGGCACCTCCCTCGCCCCGTAAACACGTTTGATTTTTACGTCTTAGAGTATTTAGTATTTCATTATATCCATAGTTGCAATACCCAGAAAACTCAATATTTTATTTCTTTAAGTCTTTGGAGTAATTGATTTTATTTACAATTTTTATATGCTGAATTTTACTTATTTTTATATATACTACTTTTTTATTATTATTAAAAAGCTCCTCTCTTTATTTCAAGCATTCAACAAGTTTTATTCCACAAGTATTTCCATTTTATATTCTTTACTGATTTTAACGTTGATTCTATCAATGTGCTAAGAAAGAATCATATTGTAAGTTCTTAAGTAAGAATTTCTGGCGTAGTGAGGTAGAAAAGGCATGTATGGGGGAGGGGTCGAGAATTGGTGGGGGGGGGGCGGGTGTCGAGAATTGGTCTTGTGCCTGTTAGGTTGTTTGAGAGGAATTGGCCTTAATTTCATAAAGTTGAAATTTCGCGATTTGTTAACGGACGGTGGTGATAGAAATTTGTAATAATCACCATCATCATTATCATCATCAATTTCCTTTCGTTATCATTATGATCGTGACTACAAATATCATTTATTTATTTATTTAGGAGAATATTTAGGAGAATATTTAATATTCGGAATGTGACCCATGTGTTCGGTGCTTTACTTATTGTTTTGGTGAAGGTGTTTTCTCTTTTGTTTCATTATTTTTACGTGTTTTGATGTATGACTGTGTTCTAATAATAAGTTTCATATCATTTCGTAAACATGTGAAAGGAAAAAGGATAAAATAATAGAATAATAAAGGTAGTGAAAAATGCACTCTATACATTCCTGTGTTTCCTGTGATGTGACTCAGTTAATGTCTATTATACTACGAATTGCGTTGGGAATTGCCTCTCCTTGGCTAAGTCCACGCATACCAGCCTTTATATTCTCGCATTAAATGCATACACCATACTTACACTACACTTAAACTCACACAATCTATCGCCCCTCTCCTTAAATCGATAGGCTTCTACACTATCCCTCTTTTCTCTAATAACACTCATGTGTACACTTGTGAGTTATGATTGTATCTGCAGTTCACTACAGACGCTGCAACCTCCCACCTCCACATATAAACAGAAAGAGAGAGACAGACAGACAGACAGACAGACAGACAGACAGACAGATAGAGACAGACAGCCCAGGTAGGAACGTTTGCTTATGGCACCGAATTCAAATAGACCAATAAAATACTGCGCAACATTTTTTTTTTACTTTTTTATGCACGCCAAAACAGCGATTGAACCTTTACCCTCTCAGGTGTATACGCCCATGTCTGGATAATAACGCAGAGCGCCTCCTAAAAGCGATCAGGACTTAATCTTTTGAGAAAATACAGAATGAAAGTCCCATTTTGACCTTCTATTTCGTGAGACGAACTTTTTGTTGTCCTTATCCGAATATTTTCACTTATCAGTAATCATCTATTAAAGTTACATTTTGAGTCTGACTTACAAGTAACCCATTGTTTAGGTCAACTTCAACTTGAAAACATTGCAAAGTGATTATCGCGCGGAAATTCATGAATGTCGCTGGAAATTAAAGGATTACTTACTCTGCTCGAACGACAAGAGCTTTAGCAACCAAGTGTTTCAAGCGCGCTACCTATTTTTTTTTTTTCTTCTTCTCTTTTCTTTATTCACTTATTTATTTATTTATTCGTTTATTTAGAGAGAGAGAGAGAGATCCGTTTAATGTGCTCCGCGCATCATTTTCTTAAGGAAATTGTTCCTTGTGCAGCGCGTCGCATGCCACTTTCTTCAGTTAGATTTGCGAAGTCTAGCTCCTCCCGGGCCTTTTCTCACGAGTGGCCCGGCCTGCGGCAGCTATTTCTAACTGTATCAATTGTTTTGTTAGATATAAACGCTCAGCATTATGGCTAGGTTGCCAAGGGCTTCCAGTTGCCACGGCGTAAGCAGAGGCATAATCGTTTTACCATCCCGGCGGCTGTCTCAGAAATTGTGTGTGCTCACAACTCTGTAAATAATTAATGTAACAGGGTGGCGTTCGGCTCGTCGCAATGCTTACATTCCTTGTCAACCACGTCATCAAGAACTTGCCATGCGCGGCGGCAACCTAGTCCTAATCTGTGCAGTATGACTTCGGAACCTTAATTATTTCTGTAGGAAGTTCCAGTGTCTCACAGCCACTTTTTTACATTTACGGACCAGATATTTTGAGTGCGCTCCGAATACATCTGGCGCGCAGTACAAACCTAGCAGACAGACAAGTAGACAGTGAAGGAGAGAGGGGGAGGAATGCGATAGCCATGTGCTTTTGCCGTCCTGAATTTAGGCATAACTATTAACCGGGCGTTAGGGTTATAACTTTTGTCCTATGCTGTTGTCAATAATAAGGAGAACTTGTTCAAAGTGGTATGCTTGTATCATATAAATCTAGCTGTGCTACGTATATCATAGTGTCAGTGGTAAAGATAAGATGTTGAGTTTTATTTAGTCTCTCTGTAGCATAAATTGCAACATTTGATATATAAATAAGTTACCCAGTCAATTTTCTATATTTCCTTATCGAAAGAGAAAACGTACGGGCAAGAGATAGTCAAGCGGAAACTATAAAAGATCGAATAAAGATAAATAGGAAAGAGAAAAATCATTAAAACAACACAGATATTGGATTGATTTCATTAAAGTTTGAAGGTATATATATTTTTTTAATAACGACAGTAATAGTTTATAAGTAATTCTCATGTTGGAGAATTTTTTAAATATATTAAAAACTAGATTCTCAAAAAAGTACATTATCCAACCGACATTCACCCCTTTGTTTATAAAAGTAATGTTGTACTCCTGTGTATCATAGACTTATCAAATGAACCTAAAATCATTTTTTTCATATTTTTATTGAGAAAGAGGCAATATTTCAATAACGAAGAATATCTAATGACCAGTATTACAATTATATTTGAATTATTACTTCTCTTACTTTGTATTGGGATTATATTCAACGGGTATTCTTTGGTGCTTAGTTAATGAACAGCGAATATTACAAATACAAAGTATAATAAAGAACATCAAATATGGAAGACGAAAGAAGGAGGAGGAGGAAGAAGAAAAGAGGAGGAGTAGGCAAAGGAGAGGAAATGAAAGCGAAGAAATAAAAGCAGATGGAGATAGGGAGGAAGGAAGGAAAGAAAGGAATAAGAAGTAAGTGAAGAGGGAGAAGGAGAAAGAGAAGAGTAACGCTAGGGATAAATAAAAGTAGCAGAAAGGTGATGAAAAAGGAAGAGAAGTAGGAAAGGGAGAAGAATGATAAGAAAGAGGAGAAGAAAAAGAAGCAGAAGCAAAGACAGACGGAGAAGTGAAAGAAGGAGATAAAAGAGAAGGAGGACTAGAAAAGGAGAAAAGGCATAAAAGAAGAAGGAGGAGGAGCAAAAGTTGACGAATGAAGAGAAACGAAAGAAGGGGAAGAAGGAGAAAAGTCAAAATAAGAGATTACTCATAATTTTTATATTATCTTACACCTAACTGCCCGGAAATGCGTTTGTTAAATATCGGTTTACTCTAAACGTTTATCTATAACCTAATTACTGATACGTTCACGTCTATGGACTTCAACCCATACTCGAATGAGCAATTGTAGACAAAGACCAGACTGGATATACGCAAAGCCAGTATATATATATATATATATATATATATATATATATATATATATATATATATATATATATATATATATATATATATATATATATATATATATATATATACTGAATACCTATACTGTCAGAAAAATCTTTGATGTTTGTGTTGTAGACGAGAGTTTATAGTGAAGTAAGCATTGTTGTTGTTGTTCTTGTTAGTGGTGGTGGTGGTGTTGATGTTGTTATTGATGTTGATGTTGTTATTGCTGCTTTGTTGCTGTTGTTATTGTTTTTGTTATCATTATTATTATTGTTGTTATTATTGGTATTATTGCTGTTGTTTTGTTGTTGTTGTTATTATTCTTATCATTATTGTTGTTATTAATATTATTATTATTACTACTATCATTATAAACGCTTATTCGGGTAATTGATTTGAAAATACCTTTGAACTCGCATGTTTCATGACATTTACAAACAATTATAATCATGAGAGGAACAAAAAAGATCATTTTTAACATTTGCATTCATTTGCTGTTTTAGTAACTTGGGTATATATCAACACTAAGTATTTATAATTTATTTTTAGACTTTTATAATGGATTTATTTACGCATACCAAACCTCTATGAACTTAAGAATGGCTAAATATGCTGTCACACTAGCACTTTTTCCGTCAATTTTTTTTATAATTTTCTGAAATTTTGTCCATTTTTGAGCGAATTGTCGATTTTTCATTCAGACGATAATGATCGTTTCCGTCTGAAAACCTTTCCGTCAACTTTTTCAGTCAAGCATAGTCAAATTTAGAGCTATATTCGAGAATGTTTGTATTTATGTTAAATATGCTAGTGTGACAGCACCTTAAGAATGCCACTTTTGTTGCAGATTTTCCGTTTTCTTCCTTTCTCTCCCTTTTTCTCTGGTATTCAAGGATAGACTGAAGTATTTTGTAGAATTTATTTTCAGTAATTTCCACACTTTGCTAGGATTTAGTACGTGACGAAGATTTTCCACGGCATTGGTATATTAGCAAGGAATTTCCCCATCTTAGAAGAGTAAAAGGGGGCCGGTTACAGCAGCCAGTTCCATATATTGTTGTCGTCGTCTCTAAAAGGTAAAGAACAATGTTTTAAAACATATAAATCAATGAAGGATTATGAACATCACAAGGTAAGTGTAGATAACGTATTTCGATATCATTCTGATGGATATATAACAACGTTCCATATCCAGTGTTAACTACATCCATTTGTATCTCTGTTCTGCATTCTTACTTATAAGCCTTTAGTGGAAGTTTAGTGGAAATAATAAATCAAAGCGTTAATTGCATGTAATTTTCAAGTAATTAATGCCATTTTGAATGTATAACGATATCTTACCTACCTACCCGTCAGTATCTATCAATAGCTAGTTAGCTATCTGCATATATGTATGTGTGTTTATATGATTGTTTATTTATTCGCTAATTTATTTATATATTCATGTACATTTATGATATATATTTCTAAGGACTATTTGCTAGTTATTTATATCTGTTTATCTCATATGGCTTTTTATCTATCTTTACTTTTATATCTATATCTACACTCCTGTCTAGTTATAGCAGTATATCTATTTGTATGACTCTACAACAATATCTATTTGCATCTTAAGATCTCTACATCTTTATCTGTGTCTTCCATATCTACATCTCTATCCCGTCTGTATCTCTATCTCATCTATTGACCCACACCTTTAATTATTCATTTCCAAATTTATATGTCGATTAATTTTCGCGCCATTTCATCTGAAATTTATATACTTGTCGACTGATGACCCCAACCCACACGACACAGAATAGCTTCAACATTACAAGTATACCCTTACGAGCTTATGGTGTAACGGGGTCGAGTGAGGTCATGCAAGTACATCCTATCGGAAGGTGTCAGACGGGGTGACACCTCGATTCTGACACCGACTCGGACACCTTTCGACGCTAAACCGAGTAACAGCTGTTCGCAGGTATACACGCTCTTCGCAATGCCGGGAAACATGAGACTTCTGTACCTGTAGGAGACAAGCGAAGGGATAAAATGTGATTTTCTTTTATTATTTTTGTTACTCTAATTGTAAAAACTAATACTAATGATAACTTAAAGAGAAAAAAAAGATGTTAGATTCTTTGGTGTGTGTGATTTTAGTTAGTTTTATTAATCATTATTGTTGTTATTTTCCTTTATTTCATTTGTTTTGTTGCTGTCCTATAACTGGTAATTCTATCATTGTTGTATTTTTTTTAACTATTACTGTTATCATTATCCATTTGTTATTGTTTTTAGTAGTATCATCATTGTCATTAATACTATTATCATAAATACTTTCATTGTTAACATCATTATTGTTATTGATATCCTTATAATTTTTTTATCTTTGTTATTATCATTATCTTTGTTATTATCATTATCATTATCATTTCATTATTTCATCATTATTATCATCATAATTCATTATCAGTATTATTACTATCATCATCCTTTTGTCATTCTCTCTCTTTCCCTATCTTTTCTGTCTCTGTCTCTTTCTCTCTCTCTCTCTCTCTCTCTCTCTCTGTCTTCCCTTTCTCTCTTTCTATCTGTCATTAATTAATCTACTCTATTTTCTCTCTATATCTATCTTTGTCTATCTATCTATCTCCTCTCCTCCTCTCTCTCTCTCTCTCTCTCTCTCTCTCTCTCTCTCTCTCTCTCTCTCTCTCTCTCTCTCTCTCTCTATATATATATATATATATATATATATATATATATATATATATATATATATATATATATATATATATATATATATATATATATATTATATATATATATATATATATATATATATATATATATATATATGTATATATATACATATATATATATACACATATATATCCTCTCTCTCTCTCTCTCTCTCTCTCTCTCTCTCTCTCTCTCTCTCTCTCTCTCTCTCTCTCTCTCTCTCTCTCTCTCTCTCTCTCTCTCTAGCTTTCCCTCACCCATCCCTCCCTCTCCTCCTCTCTTTTCCTTCTCCCCCCTCCTCTCTCTCTCTCTCTCTCTCTATCTATCTATCTCCTTTTCTTCCTTCCCTCTTTTCCTCCTCCCTTCTCTGTTCCTCCTCTCTCCCTCTCTCTCTCTCCTCCCCTTCCTCCTCTCTGTATTTCTCTCTCTCCCTCCCTCTACCTCCATTCCCAACCTCTCCCTCTACCCACCTTTCCCCTCTCCTTCCCTCCCCTTCCCACCCTCTCTCTCTCTTCCACACCCACACATTCCAAAACTCCATCATTGATTACCAAAAGCCGCCAACAGGTTGTAATAAACAGGCAGCTTTACACGCCCACCCTACTGTCGTTTCATCCACACCGCTAAGAGTAACATGCAGGCTTTGTATCTGAGGAAGTTGTTGCAGGATCGAGGGGTCAATGCTGGCCATCAAGTGTAACCCTGAAATGTTAGATTTTTGCGTTAGATTAGAGTTGATTTTTTTCTTTTCTTTTTTTTTTGGGGGGGGGTCTCTTCGTTAATTGAATGAAAATAAATAAATGGTTAGCTAAATGGCTAAGATTTACATAGGGGAGAGAGAGAGCTAGGAGGGAGAGAGAGAGAGAGAGAGAGAGAGAGAGAGAGAGAGAGAGAGAGAGAGAGAGAGAGAGAGAGAGAGAGAGAGAGAGAGAGAGAGAGAGAGAGAGAGAGAGAAGAGAGAGAGAGAAAGAGAGAGAAAGAGAGAGATTTCGGAAGTTACATAAAGAAAAAGGAGAGAATCATATAGCTAAATGAAACAACTCAATAACACAAACAATCACAGCAACTACCAAAACAACCAATAACTCACACAGGATCCCCAGGCGTGGTAACCGGTATCTAAGGGTTGAAAGTACCGGGCTAAGCTCTCGGTAATGGCTGTCATTTGGTATCGATATCCTCAGGACTTCCAGTGACTTCGGTAGCTTCTCAGCCGCTTCTCTGCCTAATTGTCCGCTGAAGTGAGTCACGCGACAGCTATTGGAGGGGGGACGGGGGGGGGGGGGGGGGAGGAGGGGTAATTAACATAATCGATGGTTTAGGAGTAAGATGGGTGAAACATTGTGTGTTTCCTTCTCTTTCTTTCTTTTTCTTTCTTTCTTTTTCTTTCTTTCTTTCTTTCTCTCTCTCTCTCTCTCTCTCTCTCTCTCTCTCTCTCTCTCTCTCTCTCTCCTTCATCATCTCTCTTTCTAATACTGATAGATAGATAAGCAATACTAAGTAATAATCAATGACATTACATAGTTCCAATACCATATACATAAAAAATGGAATGTGTTATCAAGCCTAAAACCTTCTACAGCAATATCCTGTAAAGCAAAAAGAGGACATTACCTTTGGAAAAGTTGCTGCAGCGCTTCCTCTAGAACGCTTCCGCCTGCCTTGGGATTTTGGAAGTCGTTCTGTATGTCGAGCCTCACCTGGCAGGTCTGTAGGCTGAGAGTACTTAAGAGCTTGGTCAGTCCTGGTACCTGTTGAGGGTCGTTGCTTATGCAGATGTCTACGCGCGAAGGGGAGGCGTGGTTGAGAACACTGGCATAGGCTTCTACGCTAGAATCCGTGATTTTCACCGTGTCTGTCAGGTCCATCGCATATGCTATGTATTTGCTGACCGTTGCGTCGCATTTGATTTCGGTGAGCAAGTCCAACCACTGATCTCTGTCGGAAACGCCCGAAGCCTTTAGCAATTTCACGATTTCCGAGGCCCTGCTCTCTGTCACGGTTGCCCCGAGGCCGTGCAGGAGACTGGCGCAGTGACAAAGGACGTTCTGGTAATCCTTCAGATTCCACTTTGCTACCTTGTTCTCCTCCCTTTTCGCAAAATACTTCGCAGCTTCCTCCGCCCCTTCCTTGAGCACGCATTCGATGGACCGAGACGGCGCGGAGGCTCCGTGCTTCGCGATTTTTTCCGTGTCTATGTACTGGCTAAGGCACGTCGGGGCACCGATGCTCTGCAGTGCGTTTTCGAACGTAGAGATGATGCGAGGAATGTCTAGGACAATCTCGTCGGCCATAAGAGTGTCGGTGATGTAGAGCGCTGAGTAGAAGTCCTGCAGGCTCTTGTGAGGAAAGCTGTACCTGGTCTTGGTCTCATCCGTCAGCGACGTTGACTGGATGAGGAAGGTGCCCAGGACTTCCGCTGAAGGTAACTGCAGGAAATCGCACGTGTCCTGAAGCCTCAGCATCGAAGCCTCCGAAAGCACGGTATCGTCACCATAATGGTTGATCAAAGCCTCTTTATAAAGCCTTCGGAGGAATTTATTCGTTTTATCTTTGAGTTCATGTGGTTCCAAGCTGCGCGTCTTTTCATGCTCAAATAACCTCTTCTGCAGCTTTCTTTGATTTACTTTGTGTGTTGTCATGAAGAGTTCTGTTGCTGTGGTCAAGCTGTTCACGGCGTCTGTGTCCAAGAACCACAAGATGGTCAAAAGAACCAAGTTGAACGGCAGCCGCCAGTGGTCTTGAAGCCGGCTCTCCGTTCTCTTCAGGAAGTGCAGCAGCCCCGATATGTCCTCCGTCTTCGCCTCCAACGACAAGGCCTGGCTGTAATTTCGCACAAAGTCCTCCCTCCTGCTCTCTGCTATGCCTGTGATCTTGAANCTCTCTCTCTCTCTTCCTTCATCCATCTCTCTTTCTAATGCTGATAGATAGATAAGCAATACTAAGTAATAATCAATGACATTACATAGTTCCAATACCATATACATAAAAAATGGAATGTGTTATCAAGCCTAAAACCTTCTACAGCAATAACCTGTAAAGCAAAAAGAGGACATTACCTTTGGAAAAGTTGCTGCAGCGCTTCCTCTAGAACGCTTCCGCCTGGCTTGGGATTTTGGAAGTCGTTCTGTATGTCGAGCCTTACCTGGCAGGTCTGTAGGCTGAGAGTACTTAAGAGCTTGGTCAGTCCTGGTACCTGTTGAGGGTCGTTGCTTATGCAGATGTCTACGCGCGAAGGGGAGGCGTGGTTGAGAACACTGGCATAGGCTTCTACGCTAGAATCCGTGATTTTCACCGTGTCTGTCAGGTCCATCGCATATGCTATGTATTTGCTGACCGTTGCGTCGCATTTGATTTCGGTGAGCAAGTCCAACCACTGATCTCTGTCGGAAACGCCCGAAGCCTTCAGCAATTTCACGATTTCCGAGGCCCTGCTCTCTGTCACGGTTGCCCCGAGGCCGTGCAGGAGACTGGCGCAGTGACAAAGGACGTTCTGGTAATCCTTCAGATTCCACTTTGCTACCTTGTTCTCCTCCCTTTTCGCAAAATACTTCGCAGCTTCCTCCGCCCCTTCCTTGAGCACGCATTCGATGGACCGAGACGGCGCGGAGGCTCCGTGCTTCGCGATTTTTTCCGTGTCTATGTACTGGCTAAGGCACGTCGGGGCACCGATGCTCTGCAGTGCGTTTTCGAACGTAGAGATGATGCGAGGAATGTCTAGGACAATCTCGTCGGCCATAAGAGTGTCGGTGATGTAGAGCGCTGAGTAGAAGTCCTGCAGGCTCTTGTGAGGAAAGCTGTACCTGGTCTTGGTCTCATCCGTCAGCGACGTTGACTGGATGAGGAAGGTGCCCAGGACTTCCGCTGAAGGTAACTGCAGGAAATCGCACGTGTCCTGAAGCCTCAGCATCGAAGCCTCCGAAAGCACGGTATCGTCGCCATAATGGTTGATCAAAGCCTCTTTATAAAGCCTTCGGAGGAATTTATTCGTTTTATCTTTGAGTTCATGTGGTTCCAAGCTGCGCGTCTTTTCATGCTCAAATAACCTCTTCTGCAGCTTTCTTTGATTTACTTTGTGTGTTGTCATGAAGAGTTCTGTTGCTGTGGTCAAGCTGTTCACGGCGTCTGTGTCCAAGAACCACAAGATGGTCAAAAGAACCAAGTTGAACGGCAGCCGCCAGTGGTCTTGAAACCGGCTCTCCGTTCTCTTCAGGAAGTGCAGCAGCCCCGATATGTCCTCCGTCTTCGCCTCGAACGACAAGGCCTGGCTGTAATTTCGCACAAAGTCCTCCCTCCTGCTCTCCGCTATGCCTGTGATCTTGACTTTGACGACTGCAAAGTTCTCGGGAAGATAGTACTTGAAGGAATGAACTTTGTTGGGCCGCGTCGTGCAGATAAGAGTGATGTCGTTGGTTTCCCCCATCTTCAGGATTTGCCTCAGAACCTGTTCCGATGATGGGTTGATCTCGTCCAATCCATCAATTATACAAAGCAGTTTCTTGTCTTCAATGCACTTAATGAGGTCTTCCCGCTGTACCTTTCTGCATGCGTTGGCCATTAAAGATTCAAGAAGGTGAGTAAGAGATACGATGCTTTTATCCCTGCACTCACAGAGAATCAGCAAGTCATAGTCGACAAGGTGTTTCATGGTGGTTGTCTCAGATGCCCAGTCACTTACCATTTTCCTGGTTAGTGTCGTCTTGCCAACGCCCGCCTGCCCTTCCACCAGGACAGCAGTGTTGGTCTTGCTACTTTGGCTCTGTCTGCTCTCCAAGAACACCAGCATGTCATTATATTCGATATCAATGTCACCTTCATCTGGGTTCACCTCCTCACTCTCCTCTCTGACCATCTTCATCTGGGTGAAGATTTTGTCAACGCGCACCACGGCCCTATCACCAAGCAGGCTGGAAGCGGGGCCGAAATAGGACAGCTGCTTGTACCTCTTCTTCATGTCGAGTTTTCCTTGAGTGCACACGCAGTGGCGAAGGCTGTCCGAGATGTACATGTGTCCACTGGATGCTTCCAAAGGCTTGTCCCTAATGTTGTTGATGTCCTCGTCCAACTTGCGGATAATCGAGGTGACCAAGCCCGCGTCGATCTTGAAGACCTCCCCGGCTTTCTTCAGAGTCTTCGTCAGGAGTTCCCTCAGTTCCTCCGTCTTGGTGACGAAGGTGGCCGCGTCGATCTTGTATTCCTCGTGCAGCAGATCGTTCCTGAAGTTCTTGACGGCGGTGACGTAGCGTTCGAGACTGTCCCCCGAGTCCGCCCACCGCCTGTCCCGCGGCAGAGCGAGGCCGTCGCACCCGAACTGAATGCACTGGTACAGCAAAGTCACATCGAACATGTCCCAGGCGAGTTCCCGCTTCATCTTCTCCCTCTGACTTTGGTTGAAGACTCTCCTGATGAGGCCGCGGGAAAGGCCCTTCGCCTCGACCAGGTACTCGTCGAAGAATTGCTTCGGCTGCCTCCTGGGCGTCCCCCACGAGAGCACCCACCGCAGGACGCTCCCGCCCTTCGTCATGATCATCTCGTAGAGACGGAAGGTCATGAGACTCTGGTCCTTGAAGTGGTAGGGATGCAGCTTCGAGTTGGACATTTCGAGGACGTCTGTTGAGGTATATACGCGGTTCCTCAGGTCTGGAAGAGACTGTTTTTATTAACTATTTCTTCATTTATCTACATATCTATTTATCTATTATTATCACTATTGCGGTTAAGGTGTCAAAATTTATTATCGCGTCTTGTTACTTTTTTCCTTATCTTTTCCAAAATTTTCTGCTATGTTATTATTGATCTTGTTACTACTGTTGCTCCTGCCATTTCCACTGTTTTTCTACTGGCTTCGAAATCATAGCGTTTTTCATCATCATCATCATTATCACTGCTGTATTCACTGTCGCAGTCTTAAAAATGATAGCAAAAGATAAGAAAAAAAGGATTAGATATAAAGTTAAGGGTTAAAAGCACACACACACACACAACACGCACACACACACACACACACACACACGTCACGTTCATTAACATATATTTTTAATTGTAAACATTACAAAAGGCTAAAGATCCAATGTGTATAAGCTCAAGAATATAAAATAAGAAATAAGCAGAAAAATGAATTTGTAAAAGATATATGCATGATAAAGAGAATATGGAAATAAAAGATAAATCAAAAGGATGTATGCATGATAAAAAGAATACGTAAATAAAAGATAGATTTAAAAGATATATGATACAATGAATATGGAAATAAAAATAACTTGAGGAAGGAAGAGGAGAAGAAAGAAGACTAGAAAATAAGACAAACCGTCAAAGAAATGATGATGATGATAATAATGATAATAAAAATAATTAGAATAATAGTAATAATGATAATAATGATGATCATGATAATAATAAGAATAATAACAGCAATAATGAAAACGAAAAGCGTGATGATCACTTAATACATTTTAATATAATAATAATCCTCTTGAAACCAAAGTAGAACAGATTATTGACACCTGATCAAGAGCTGAGTAATCTGACATTAACCCAAAATACAAAAAAAATGCTAATGGCATGCTGATAAAACTCTAATGCTCTTTCTGTCTGTCTGTCTATTTCTCTTTCTGTCTGCCTGTCTGTCTATTTTCTGTGTCTCTCTTACTCTCTTTCTGTTCGTCTCTTCCTTCCTTTCTCTCTCTCTCTCTCTCTCTCTCTCTCTCTCTCTCTCTCTCTCTCTATCTATCTATCTATCTATCTATCTATCTATCTACCTATCTATCTATCTATCTACCTATCTATCTATCTTTCACCGTCCCACCATCCGTTCTCTCTCTCTATTGCTCTCCCTCTCTTTCATCGTCCATCCCTCCTCTCTCTCTCTATCTCTCTAT